CGAGGGGGCGACGTGGCGAAACGCGGCCCGGGGGAAAGCGGGGTCCCTGACTGGTAGAGGGTCTTCCGACCTTGGCGACCCTCCCCTGGGCCGGGATGCGGTAACCCGCCTCCGAGGCCCAGAGGAGTTAGCCTGCAATTTCCCCTCCCTTCGGTGCCCCTTCTGACGGCGGAGAGAGAAAGAGGCTTGCGGCCCCTTCCCGGATGTCGCCTCTTCCTGGTGCCAGACTTCCTGGCGTCGTGCGCTGTCCCTTACAGACAAGTTGTCTGCCTGTGATGAGGAGCTGCCACCCGACGGCCATCCCTCATGAGAACCTCAGTTTGCACCGGCAAGCAAGCAAGCTGCTAACCGATGATCATCCTTCCTCTTGACTTTGTTTCCTGGAACTCACGTATGAAAAACGCCGGTTTCTTTGTGTCCCGGGTGCCCCTTTGGACAGAGTAACCCCTTTGCTGCTGTGCAACAATAAAGGAAAGATCTAAACGTTTCTCGTGTCCGGCGGAGTTATGGGCAGTCATCTCCGGGCAAGAACCCCGTTTTGGGCCCAACAAGGGGCGGGGGCTTAAAATGACCGCAAAGGAGGTCCAGGCTGGGCATCAAGAGGAGCTTCCTGGCTCCGTGAGCGGTCAGCCGGCAGAACAGGCTGCCAATGCAGTAGCCTCTGCAACTTTAAGATGGGTGGACTTCAACTCCCAGTTGGCTGGCTGGGTCGGGGAGTTCTGGGAGTTGAAGTCCACACAGCTTAACGTTCCCAAGGGTGGGAAATGGATTGTCCTTCTGTTTACAAGGGATCATTCAGTGGCCGTTGATGCAGAGGCATCTGGCCATATTTGGTTCACATGAGCTGCTGAGGACAGGTGTGACGGGCCAACAGGTGAGCACCTGCTCCGCCTGAGATCCCGGGAAAGAATCTCAGGGAAATCCCAGACAGCTGCTACCTGTCAATGCTGAGCCAGGCCAGGAACGGGGTGAGAGCCCCATTTGCACAAGACGCTAACCTTGGTTAGCTTTCACTGGTTTTCTTTGGGGCTTAGTGCGTCAGGCAAACCAGCTGGTGTGGCTTGCAAGGTGGGGGGTAGCCCCCAGAAACGGGCCAGTTCAGTGACTAGAATAAGCCCATTGTGTGAAGGGTGGTTTGACCCAGGGCAAGTGAGAGGCTGTGAAAGAAACAGGAGAAACCGCGAACAGAAAGAATTCACAGATGGACGTGGTACCCCTTGGTAGTTTATCTCTAAAACAGCAGCTCAGTTTGGGGTACAAAGAGGGGGCAAGAGATTCCAGTGTTCAAAGAGAGACCGCCGTAACAAACTCACAATTAAAAGAAGGCAAAGATTCCTACCACTGTTTCCAGGATTTTTCTTTCTTTTCTGTTTTACTTTTTCTTTCTTTCTTGCGTGTTTAGTTTTCTCTTCGATCCTTCCTTTTTCTTTTTTCCTCCTTCCTTTATATTAGTTTGTACCTTTGTTTTTTAAAGCTTTTAATAAATATATATATTTATAAAGCAGGGAGGCAGAATTGATCAGAATTTCTCATTTTTCTGGAAGATTCTGCCTCCTAATCACTCGGCCCCTGCAGAAGCTTTAAGAAGAAATTGTGCGTGTCTGCATGGTTTAGCTATGGGTTATCAGGAGCCGTCTGACTCAAAGCAGCGCTGGAAAAACGCTTTTCCATCCTCTGAGCCAAGTGACTCAGCATCGCCTTGCCAGCGTCGGCACCTGTGCCGCTCTTGTGAGGGCACGTTGGAAAGCCTCGTGAGTGCCAGGGTCCAGAGGCTCACGTGCCTTTCTTCCACTCGCCCACTGCCGTTTTCTCTCTCCATCACGTTTCCTGTGGTTCACTCCCTTGGCACAGTCGCTTGCCCAATCCCAAGGCAGGATTTTAAGGTTTAAAAATGACTCAGAGTCCTTCTGCACCCAGACGAGATCAAGGGGAGCAACCCAGATCCGGCAGCCATTTAAATTCTGCTAAATCCCAAAGCCGATTTTTCTCAGAGGTTTTGTGGGCGAGGAGGAAGAGCAGCGCTGCCCCTGAAAGCCTCGCACAGGCTTCCAAAATCATCTTACGGAGGGCACGGGATGGAAAGTCTCTCTCCTGTCCATAACAAAAGTTTTTAGTTCCTTATTCCTATCCTGCGTTTTGTCAGGAGCTCAAGGGAGCCTTCCTTTGTTTTCCCCACAACAGCCCTGTGAGGTAGGCTGGGCTGAAGTGAGATTCCAGGGAGAAGCTGAGCCTCCCTTTAACCATGGCACTACGCTGGCTTCGTTAAGTGTGACTCCGGGTGATGTCACGAATACATCCGTGTAGCTTTTTCGAGTTGTTTTTCCAGGATATTTTCTCACAGTCTAACCAAGTATACTGGAACTTCCTGGTGGCCTCCTATCCAAGTACATTCATGTTTATCCCAGCTTAGCAGCATCTAGCTAACCCACGTTCCTTTGAGTCAAGGGAAGTCCTCCTGGTGCACTGTTTCTCAACATTGGCAACTTAAGAGGTGTGGACTTCAACTCCCAGCAAAGCTGGCTGGGGAATTCTGGGAGCTGAAGTCCACACCTCTTAAAGTTGCCAATGTTGAGAAACACTGTCCTGGTGGCTTACAAAGACACATCCCTGCAGCGTCCTTGACAGAAACACAGAAGTGGATTGCCCTTGCCTCCTTACCAATATTCAACTTTCCAGGTTAGTTCCTGGTGGTCTCCCATCCAAGCATTTCATCAGGTCGATTTGGAAGGTCAGCCAAGGCACCAGACCAGCTTTCCAGGGCCTTCCAGATCAGGGAAGTGAAACCATGGTTGCCTTATTGCTGTTCAAATCCCAGTCAGAAGCATCTGCTGATCCACTGTAAGATCTGCAAGAATTCCTCCAGAGCTCCCGCTCAGCCTAGGACAGCTTGCGGTCGGGGCTGTAGAAGAGAGCCGGGACAGGGACGGAGCAGATGATGGCCTGCAGGGAAGAGCCATGCCCAATTTGATTTAAAAATGGGATCGGCGGCAGGATCCAAAGCGGAGCCAGACAGACAGAAGCAGGGTTTGCTCCAGTAAACCAGGCTGCATCTGCGTCGCAATGGGCAGAGAATTCTTCAGCTCAGAGCTGAGCCGTTTGGCCACAATTCGAGGTTAGGAAATGCCTGCCGAGGAGGCTAGGAAAGGGTGGGTGGGTTTCCCTTTCCTTGAGTCCGTTTACATCCCTGCAGCAGCCTCAAGGTGAACATCTAGCCAGAAATGCAAAAATCAGAGGCATTTTTTCCCACCCCTCTCGTGCCTTCCCTGGGTGATCTCCAATTCAGAAAATGGAGCTTGCCGGGGGAACATCCTCGGGGTTACTTCTGAATCAACAAGCCTCACGTTTGGATTAGAGTGCAGTTGGGATCCTGCTTCTGCCAGGAAAAAGGAGGGCGACACTCCGAACAAGCTGGTTTGGAGACGGAGTTTCAGTTCCGATCCTTGGAGGCCCAGAGACGCATCCCTGAGCAGAACTAGATTTCTAAATGCAGGAGGCTGGAGTTGCTCGATCAACGGCAGACAAAGCGCACCTCTGGGAAAGGCCACCTGCAGCTTTTCAAAGGTGAAGGTTGCTTGCGAATTATGGGATGGAAAAGAGCCGCCACTGAGTATCCACCATAGACAAGGTGTGAAGCAGAAAACATCTCAGACTGGAACCAGAAAGCCCTGGGCCCCTGAAACCCCAGGCCCAGAAGGGATCCTCGAGGGTCTCTAGTCCAACCCTCGCCAGGGCAGGAATCCTCAGGCCACCCCAGAGAAACGGCTGCCCCACCTTGGCTTGAAGATCTCCAGTGATCCAGGGACCCACAACTCCAGCAGGCGGGCAGTTCCTGGGGATTGCACGGACACGTTCCTGGCAGCATTACGGAAGTGGCTTTCCCCACCTGCAACATTTCCCAGCTTCCCATTTGAGCCTGCAGCCCTAGGATTCCCTGCTGGCCTCCCATCGGAGTACTAATCAGCTCTAACCCTGCTTTCGCCAATGGTGGTCATCCTCCCAACCAGAGGTTCCCAAATGTAAATGGAAGCCTGAAGCTTCTCCAAGCGTTCTCCTGCAATCCCTGGCCACCGGCTAAATCCGAATCTGCCACCAGGCCAGGCCGGGCCGGGCTGAGGGGGGCTACCCTATTTCTTTTCCCCCCTGCAGAGAAAGCGAGGGCACAATTCCCAGTCCTTTCCATAACCATAGCAATTTATTCAACTCTGATTACATACGACTGCATCAGGCCACGTAAACACAGCAAGGAGACATTTTTACAAGGAAATTCACATGGGGGGGGCAAGTACATTTAGCAATTATCCCAAGCAACATCTGGCAGTACAATCTCTCAAACCCCCTCCCTCCAGAAGCACGTTTAATACGTTTCAAGCCAAATTGGATTCAGCATCTGGCATTTTTTCTACAAACCGCCCCAATCCTACCTGGCTTCAGACACACGTACGCTGAAACAATCAAGCCGCTATCCTCAATGGGGTGCCGTTCAGATGCAGGGGCCAATTCCTGCAGTGTCCCTGGAGTGTGGGGAAATGAAGTCCAGGGCACGTGGACAGCACTGGGCCAGGGACGGCTGGCACGCAGCTTTTCCCAGTTTGAGCCGTGTTCTCCTTCATCCCAACTGCCTTCTCACAGGTAGGAACTGTGCCAGCTCAGTGCAACCTTCACAGCGCAAGGAATAATGCCCGATCCTTGGTAATGCGGCATGTGCTCATGCGCCGTGCGATCAGCCAGCAGCATTTTCCCCAGCAACCCTGGGTTCTATCAGCTCCAAAGCGAAGAGCAGGAACCTCTTCCAGAGCTGGGATGACAACCACAACGCTACCGCAAATTGCAGTTGACAACCTTCCTGTGAACCCCCAGAATTGAGTGTGTGCAGGGTCTAGATCCATTTGCCCAAGCTGCTGCCTGCCAGATATGTGGGCCAGGTGTCTGGGGATTCTGGAAGGTCTTCTCAGAGCCCATCTGGAAGGCCCTGGATGGCTGAAGATGAACCCATACTCATCTGCACACAGAGCAAGGATCAATTTCTCACACTGCAAGTTCACCAGATATCGTGTCATGCTAATAATTAGGAATCTGGGCTTACACAGCTCCCACCCCAGGATTATCCATCAATGGGGCATCGTGCCCACCCCCAGATTCCTCATCTACTCTTCACGGACACCCCACCTCCCATTCCAAAGATTAAAGTTTCCGGCCATCTTCTCTGCCCCCGCACCTAGGTTCATTCCCTGCCCTTCCTTTAGCACAAATGAGCTTCACGTTTGAAACAAAATACTTTGCTTTTTTTCTCTCTCTCTTGCTCTCTCTTCCCTAGAGAACTTCAACATTTCTGCCCATGATTCCAAGCTTACTATAAATAAGCTGTACAATTAAAAGGCACTTTTTAAACTTTTCACAGGCGCGCTATACCTGGATTGAAAAAAGACAGAGGATTGATAATCAGCCTTGCACAAGATGGTGGTTTTGTTTTTGTTAGTAAATGTGGAAACTGAGTCTTCCTTAAGAAGAAAAAAAACCACATTCTTCATTATACGTTAATGGTAGCACCAAGTTAAAACATGCTTCCAGAGAGATTTTTTTAACACAAAACACTGTCATTACAAAAAACTTTGATGATTTAACTCTACTGGAACTCCACACCCTAATTCCACATCACCTAAAGGCACCGATGCAGGGATGGGTGCGTTGAAATACTCCAGACTCACGAACCCAAAATGAAATGCCGGATTTCTCTTCCTCTTTCCCACTCTGCCTCAAATCACCATCTCGCTGTGTTCTTAAACTGATTTTCCCACTTGCAGGTCCCAGGGCAAAAGGAAACAGCTACTCGGGTTCCTTAAACCAGAAGTCAAGAACCCAAAGCTTTAAAAAGTTCAACAGTCCACGGGAATCAAGTCCTTTCTGTGCAAATTCAGGTTTTAAGTGCTGTTGCTCCCAACTGGGAGTGTGCAACTGAAAAAGAGGCTTGCGTTGGGTCTGTGAGACCAAAGGGGAACGAACCACTTTCGTTTTATCGTTTCGGAAGCTTGACGGCCACTTGTTCTAGCTCTGCAATGGCAAACCACGGACAGTTGGCTGTCAGAAGGTCAGATCTGCAGGGACTCGCTCTTTAGCAGAAGGAGGGGAAGTTTTCTGACACCAAGGGTGGCGCACGCTTGCAAGCGGCCTGGCTAATGTGGCTGGCTCCCCTGCCGTTTCTGTAAAACCAGCTTGACTCTACTTCTGGCTGAGCACCGTGCGGAGCACGCTCTTCAGCGACCCTGGCGGATCCAACCCAGCCCAAAGGCTGAGACCCCAGAGCCAGGGAGACTGCAAGGCGCTAGCTGCGCCCCTCCAGATGCGAAGGAAGGGGGAAAAACAGCTCTCTCGCTCGACCCAAACGCTGAGCATCGTTTTTCACCCGGCAACAAAGCAGTTTGCCAGCCGTTCTGACCCCTCCTCAGCAGGTGTGTGTTCTTCTCACATGCACCTTTCCCAGCCGAAGCCAGGCAGCCTTGGCCACTGTCAGGGAAGGGCTGCGAGCAAATGAACGCAGAAACGAAACCAGCATTTTGCGATGTCAGAAAGAGAAGCGAGGGGAACCGGGTCTCTCTTCTGCTCTCGTGGCAAGAGGCTCCTCTCCGAAAATAACTTGCGCACCAACCTCGCTGTTCCCTTTTTAAAGCCACTGGCCAATATGACACAGAGGTAGATAGGTTTGGGCTTTAGTTTCAAGCTCCTCCATTCCTCCCCCTGAATCTGAAATAAAACCTGAACAATCTGGCGATTGGTCTCAACAGACCTCTCCAAGTGGTAAACTGTGGATCTGGGGGGTGGCGGGGGCTGGGAAGAGAGGAAAAGCCCGTCTCCCCATCACGTTTTGATCATCCGTTCGAATTCAACTGAGCGGCAAAAGGCTTTGAAAGCTTTAAGTCAAAACTGGCTCTTACTTTTAACTTGGACTTTAACAGCGGAGGAAACCTTGCTTTCAACTTAAAAGTGGTCACGTTAAAACGGCGGACAGTCTTCGGCATCAAGCTTTGTCTCGGAGGCCAAAATAAAAATACAAATAATAAAAATGCATCCTCGGAGAGTCCATTTCAACCTGGTTCAGCTCCAAAAATTATGGAAACCAAACTAGCCGATGGGCTCAGCTTCCTCAGCATTTTCCTCTTCTTTTTTAAAACTGTTTTTTGTTGCAGTTGTGGTTGGGTGGGGGTCCCAGCCCAATGCCTACAGAGATCCCAGGACATCCCCTTTCTGCATGCAGGTTAAAACAGACCCTCTCCCCACTGTCCTGTCCCCATTGAAAGAGTCCTGCTCCAATGCTAAGTAACCACAGGGGGATCTTGTGGAATCTCCTCCCATTTAAGCAATCTGTGCTGGCGCAGGGCTGCAGAGTGCACACACAGCTCCAGAGGGACGTTGTAACCCTTGCGAGCGCGCTCCCGGCAGCTTCGACTCTTCCAGCTCACCCCATTGGGGAGATGGGAGGCCACACAACGAGGCACCCTCACAGCTGCTCACCACCGCAATGCAGCACCGAGGCAGCCGCCCCGCATCTACAACACACTTCCTCCTTGTGTTGCGAGGAAAGACCTTCCCAGCAGCTGCCTCGCTTGTTCTTCCTTAAAGACATCCAAGGCGAGGAGGGGAGGTATTTCCAGCCTGGGGGAGGCACGGAGAGATGGGAGCCTCCAGCAGAGCCGCCAGGAGACGTTCTCAGTTGAAGGCGTCTCTCGGACTCAAGAACGGGCCCTGCTCAGCGTTGCCATGATCAAAACCGCAGGCTGATGTTCGCGGTGCTCTGTTGGCTTCTGGTGTGCTGCTGAAAGAGAAGGGGCTGGATCCTGCTCCTCGACCTTTGCCAAAAGCTGAAGTGCGCCAGAAGGGAGCAGTGCAGTGCAGGGGAGAGATCTTGTATTTCTTCAGCACTGCGGAGGTCTGTCCCAGATAGGTGCAGGGCAGGAAACGCTCTGCCCTCGATACAGGCTGCAGCTGCCCCATCAAATCTTCCTGCCCCCCTCCCAACCCAAACTATCCCCCCCCCATGCCTCTTCCGCCTCTCAGCAGTTCTGGAGACGGTTGTAGAGTTCCCGCTTGCTCTTCTCCCCGGCCCACGTGCGGCTCTTCAGACGAAAGGTGCGCAGGTCTTCCTTAAAATCCTTGTGGTGCATCGGGCGGTAGTTCTGCGGCTCACAGTGACTCTGGGGGAGGAGGCAAAACAGGCCAGAACATCAGGTTAGGGGACCAGGAGATCTAAAAATGCCAGCCCCGCGGGGCAGACCAGACCAGACCAGGACATCAACTCCACAGGAAGACAAAACTCTACACGATTGGGATGGGCTCCAGTAACAAAACCTTGCAAGTCTGATTGTGCTTTTCCTCCCCGCTTTCTTACACCCCCGTAAATCAGGGAAGTGTCTGCTTGATCTGCTTCCAGATATGATCCTGCTTCTCGGGACTCAAGGAATGTTTCGGCCCCCTTTGCCCAGTAACGGTTCTTGCATATTTCCCTCAAGGTCATCCCCCTTGCTCCCTACAAAATGGAGTACTACCAGAAGAATAGCATCGACTTAATCCATGTATACGTGTATTCATTCTTTTTATTTCTGTAGCACTTTCAGCCTGCAGGAGCCTTGAGGGATGCTCACCTAATCCCCCACAATAAGAGCAAGATGTAAAACCAAAGCAATCCACGAGAGAACACGCTCCCTTACAGGAAGAAAATAAAGTGGTACAGGTAGTCCTCAGGTTATGACGGCAATTGGGGCCCGAATTTCTGTTGCTAAGCAATGTGGTTGTAAAGCATGACATCATGTGACCATGTTGCTTAGCAACAGCAATTCCAGCAGCCGTTGTAACCCCAAGACTACACAGGTCATTAGGCGAGGACCTCATGTGACCGCAACTTCCAACTTCCCCATTGACTTTGCTTGTGGGAAGCCAGCAGGGAACATCAGAAATCGCAATCATGTGACTGCAACGACACTGCGACAGCCAGAACTCCGAGGACCCATCATAAGTACCATTCGTTCAGCGGTGTCATAACTCTGAAAGGTCACTGAACGAATGGGCATAACCCAAGGACTACATGTAGGAGTACAACAATTTAAACCAACTTCAGCTCTGATAAGTCATCTTTTGTTTCGTCATGGCTTACTGAATCAATCCTAACAGTCTGTTTTGGACAATATAAGCAATTATTTACAAATTCCAAAAGGTGAATTCACACAAGTTAAGACCATGCAATCCCACATTATGGTTTTAGTGCAATGTGTGAATCTGGCCAACAAATTTAGGGAGACAATCCTTGACCACCATCAAACACACTTTTATTCCTGGCCTTAGCATCCTGACCCGTTAAAGGTTCTGAGAGATCAGATGGTATTTTGCAACATTAGCTGATTCTAATAAAGCCGTTGTTTCCCTGTAAATTCAGGATTCACTTGGTGGTAATCATGAATATGTGAGGATTTGCACAGGATTGCCTGCCTCCTTGACAACAGATCAAGGGGAGAAAACGGGAGAAGGAAGGTAATGCTTGAAGGTTCTGCAAGGAATTCAAGCAGAGGCCCCTGAGCTGAGCCCTGGCTAGGAAGACGTGATTCTTCAATCCAGCCAGGCATTTGGGGTTGAGCAAAGGGGGCTCTGAAATAACAGCCCACCAGAAGATGAGGCACCTACAGCTGGCTGAGAACGTTCAACATCATCTGTGGCTGATAAACCACTTGCACCCATCCAGTTGAGTTCTGGAGCATTCCAAGTTTACATTCTGCTATGGCTTAAAATCTATCAGTATTCCCCCACCCAGGACCCACGAAATGTGTGTTTCCCATCTTCTATAATCCCCAGTCAGCAGCGGAGGTCAGTTCCCAGACATAAGCCTCTGTAAGAATCCATGGCAACTTCATGTGAGTCATGACATCATTGGCATAACGATGGTGCCCGTGATGTCACTTGCATTTCCTGCAGACATCCACTATTCCAACACATCTGGATTGCAATTGGTTTAGGAAGGCTGACCCTGTCCAGATACAGCTGGAATGGGATAAAAGCAACAGAGAAATGCCTGATGCTGGAAGATATTCTGCCTGTGACCATGGAGGTTCCACTTAGCTAATAAGATCAACCTCTCCCTTCTCATGGTTCTTCACATCCCCTTTTAAAGCAGCCACGGGGAAATTGCAGGTGAAAACAAAAACAGATGCTCTGATGCAGAGAGAGAAATGCCCCTTGCAAGAAGCTCACCTGATATTGGGGGAAAAATTCTTTATAGCCACCTTTCAAAATGTACAGCTCTGGGTAGTGGAGAGAAGGGTAACAATTGCAAGCTCTGTCTTTTTCCCGAACAAAACGGCACCTTTGGGAATAAAAGGCAGGGATGAACAGCGCCCCCTCTGGCTCTCCAGCCTCCTCCTCTGTTTCACTGCAGCAGCCGGGGCTGCCTGCAGGATACAGTCAAAAAAGTCAAGATGGCGGCCACGATGGTACAATGGAAACTCCACTTCTTAATGTGTGGAGGCAGAACTTTGGTGGCACCGCTGCGGCTGACCACACCCCGCGGACACCCCCGGCAGCAGCCATTCTTTCCAAAGGCTTGCAAGCCCTTGAGCATCGTGGTCCCACTGGGCGGTGGGACGCAAAGGAGCGAGGGGGTCCCAGGCGGAGAGTCGGCAGAAGGGGAGGCTTACATCCGGGGCCCTCTTTCCGACGAGAACTCGCAGTGGAAAACCACGATCACCCGTTTGGTGGAATCAAAGGGCACAATGGGCTTCTTGAGCAGGAACTCCTCCACGTCCTTCTCCAGAGGAAGATTCACAGCACCCTGGAAACAAAGCAGAGCAAAAGGCTTTACCGTCTCAAAAGTGGCTCCCCAACTTTTATGACAGAATCAAGCAGCTGTCTGGAAGAGCCGTGGGTGCGAACCAAGCGATCCTCAGCCTTAAAAGCTCGCGCCATCCTCTGACACTAACTTTTCCACCCTGAATGAGGATTGCCAAGAGGAGCAGAGAATTCACGGACCGCTGTTCAGCAAACCCAGGAGAAGGAACAGGGGTGGGTCCTTAAGGTGACATCTTACGCTCAGGCCAAGACGGCAAGGGGGCTAGCTGCACCCATCTGCTGGCAGACAGGGCTGGCCAGAAAGACGGTCCCCCACCTCCTCAGATGTTCTCAGAAGAAGAAAACTTCCGCGTACTTGGCATGAGCATGAAATGGATTTTTTTTGGTTTCAAACCAAGAGACATTCCATCAAGATGGTCAAATGCACCAAGTTCCATTGGAACAAAACCTGAAACAGCTGGAGTTTTGTTCTTGCTACTGTTCTGACCTCAAAAAAAAAATCTTAGTACTAACATTGGAACAGCGCATGCAAAAGTGGCGCGTCCCATTTTGAGATTATTTTCTGTGACCAAAATACTCCAATAGGCCAAAGTTGGTTCATAGGTCAAAGCAAAACATGTCTCCTATGTGGCACCTGTTGTTCTTGTCACAAAAGCTCGGAACATCCTTTTGCTCCAAACGTGGAACATCGAAAAGGCCCTTTCTGGCTCAAAACATTTCGATCTCAGGCCACTTTGCCCTTCCTGGCATTCTGCGTGAGCAGCAGTTCATCTCACAGCACTTTTCAAGGGACAAAAAATAAAGGCAAGGGAAGAATCAGGGCCGAACAGCATCACCAACGGGAGTCAGGAGGGTGTATCTGCAGGTTTATTTTTCTGCCCATTCAAACCAGGACAATTACAAAAAGTTGAGTTTAAAACTCAAAATAAACTGCAGAGCTCAGCTAAGAGATTCTGGCTTGTTCACTTTCCCCCAGCCAAAAAAGGGCTGCAGTTTAGCATAAGAAGAGCGACCATCTTCTGGCAGCTCCTGGCAGCCCTTCAAGGTAGACCAGACTAGGAAACCAAAGTCAAGCCGGCCAGTACTACTTTTATTATTAGGTTATAGTAACAGAATCTTGCACGTCTGAATGCGCTTCCCCCCTCCCTCCAACTTTGTGAGAACTAGCGAGGGTCTTGTCTGGGACACTTTCTCAAATTACATTTCTGCCGTGGACTCAGATTTCTTTAATCTGACCGTGGTTTTGGTAGTGGCTCTTCCTCCGGTCCCTCAAGGCTGTTCCTTCTTCCCAGTATAGCTTCAGGTACAAAGGGGGCCATTTAGACCCCCTGCAACAGGTGCAAAACTTATTCCATTCTCACCTGCCTCACCCAAGCTGACTGGGGATGGTAGGTACTGATGTCCAGTGTGTCCTGAGAACCCCAGACTAGGGAAGGGGTTGTGCTAGTCAATGGTCCAGGGGCTAGCCCACCCAAGTTACAATCTCCCCATCTGCCTCATTCATGCCAACCTGCCAATTTGCATTAAGAAGCCGCAGGTGGGGAACCAACCTTGATGTGACCGCCTTCATATTCATACGGGTATCGACAGTCCACGATCACACAGTTTTCAATGAGGTTGTTGAACTGGCCATTCAGCACTGCCACCATCTGTGGGCAAAGACAAGGTTAAAAAGAAGCCCACATCTCCGCAGATCTCTCTGGCAAAGCACAGTCTGGTGGAGAAGGTCAGGTCCATCCTGGAAGCCGGGACCAGAGGAGGCTCTGCACCTTCCTTTTCAACCTTGACTGCAGCACTAAACCACCTGCTTCCATGAGAAGACACACAGTGGGGAGTTGAGACAATCCCTTTTCTTCGTTCCCAGCCAAGACTGCCAGGAGCTAACAGTGAGGATCCTACTTCAATCCTCGATGGCCCCAGACAGCTACTTTGAATGTGGGCAAGCTGTCATCACGCAAACGCTGCAGCTTACTTTCTCGCGTCGGACCTCCCAAGAACATAAGCTGCAGCATTGCGGGATGACAGCTTGTCCACGTTCAGAATAGCTGCCTGGGCTCATCAAGGCTCCAAGGGCATTCGTGATTGTGTGATGCCACTATTGCATGCACGTTTGGCATCCCTGTAGTTTGCTACAGATGCCCCAGAGCATTTGGGCAAAAAAGAGAGGGAAGACGGCTGCTCTTCGGGGATTAGGAGCTTGCTTGGAATTCAGCCGCAACTGAACAAAAGTTCTGCCTCTTTCAGTCCAGCCACGACAAGTGCAGGGAGGCAAAAGTAGCTCCAACTCTGAGCAGGGAAAACGTGAAGCAAGCGAGGCGTTAGGAGTACCTGTCTTGCTAATCTCCAATCTCGGCAGTAGCCGTGAAGAAATCCCCTTCTGTAAACTCTGGTAATTTTATGAGTTTTGGCATGACCACCTCAGCTCTAAGTCGGTCAGAAGCGGTTCTAATCTGCGCGGGGGGTGGGGGGGTCTCAAACGGCAGGCACGAGGCGCCTTCTCCAAGAACCAATGCCTGCCTATTGATGACGTAACCTTACTTGCTCTTCTTGACCTGAAAATTAGTTGCCGTATATGCTCAGGTATAAGCCCATTTGCAGATAAGCCAGCCCTCAAATTTTTAACCAAAATACCATGAAAAATGCACCACCTGTGAATATTGCCGACCCTCAGAATTTCCTGTTTTAATTTTCACAATTGGTCTATCCATGGGTAATCCAGAGATTATCCATTTTTCATGGTATTTTGGTTAAAAATTCAAGAGTCAGCTTATCCTGGATCTGAGAGTATATACGGGATATACGGGTACTTTATAAAAGTTTTACCGTATATTCTTGCCAATAAGCCTATCCACAGATAAGCTGAACCCAATGTTTTGGCTGTATTTTGAGACCTAAAATTCTCAGCTTATCCATGAGCATATACGGTAAATGAATATGTATTGGGAAGCACTTAGGATCTGCTCTTGTTTCCACCTGCTCTGGCAGGATCCAACAGCTGCGATCCCACTTGGATCCTCAATGATCCCAGGCGGCTCTTTTGAACGTGCGCAAGATGTGCATTTCTGTTGTTTTGAAGGGCCTTTTGCAGAGGAGGGTCCAAAGAATAAACTGTAAATAAATTCCGTCCAGCCCTCATCGGAGTGACCCTGGGAAAAACTTTTTCCTGACACCCCCAAATGGATAAGAGGTGAGCAAAGCAGTTAATCTGGGTCTGCACTGTTCTGAAGTAATGCCAGCCTCAAATTGTGGAGGGGGGTGGAGACCTGGTAAAATGCTGTCCCTAGGCTTTTTTGCACAGATGCACCAACTTTTACACACACACACACAGTGTTGCTCCTGGCCATTTGCTGCTCTCCTGCCTACGGACAGGAGCATTCCTGAGTGCAAGAAGTGCAGATGCAAAACTAAAGGACGCATAACTGGGGCAGGGGCGTTTCCTGCATTCGAGACTCATGCCATACTTGGGAACAACAGACATGGACGACGTTTCCTTACTATTTCTGGAGAAATGTACTTGAGATCTTGGTGTTTTCCTTCCACGGTCTGGAGGACGTAAGCCTGGAGGGAGGAGAGCAGAAGAAGTGACCGTCAGCTGCCATTCCCACCGCGAGCAGCCCCACCCCGGTCCTTAACTTGCTCCAGGGAGAAAAAGTGGGGAGTGACCTTCTTCTCGCCCCGGCCAATACCTTTGAGAAGTCGCCAATTAGCTCCCGTTGGTCGTTGTCCAAGATGTTTGCAATCTCGCTCGGACAGCAAGAGCGGGACCGGACCAGCCGAGGCTTCTAGGAGGAAAGGGACAAACGGCATCAGAGGATGCGGTGGTATCCTGGCTTCGATGGGTTCCCACCCAGCAAAATGCCCTCCATGTGCCATGCTGGAAGACTGGAAAGCGTCTTGCATCATCCCCAGCCTGGAAGCGGGCTGAGCCCTGGCCCAAGAGCACCTCGGCTAAACAGCTCCCTCGGTAGATCCTCCATCAGCAGTAGCAGGGGTCTGTTAGTGGTGGTCTTCCCCTGAATGCCCAACGACCAGTGAAAGGAGGCCGTCAGTCATGAGATGCCGGGGGGGGGGCTAAGGATTATTTAAATCAATCAATCAATCTGGCAGCAAAGCGTTTCGAGATCTCTAGCAAGATCCTCCTGGAGAAAGAACTGGGGCCGTGAAGGCCGTGAATGACACCCGTGTTCCTTCTTAGAGCCCACGCCGAACACACAGCTGCAAACAGGTCAATTTTGCCCCCTCAAAAAAAATCTAGGAAAGGGGGCCTCTGCACCCCTGCTGAAAGCCCAAGAGTCTGGTGGGGGTGAGGTCCAGGGGTGCTCCTGGGGGGCAAAGCACCCCTCCCTCCCTCCCTCCCCCCTACCGGTTCTTCCACAATGGGGCTGCCGTTCAGGCTCTTCCGCCGCTTGGTCTTCACGGGGGAGACTTTCTCTAGGGCCCGGTCCCACCGCTTCAGGCTGGGCGGGATGACACTGCTCGGCATGGACGGCGACCGGAAGAGGCGCTGGGACCTGGCGCCCCCCGCCATCATCTGCGCAAAGTTGGGGGAGGAAGAGGTGAGGGGGCAGGAGGGCTCAAGCAGCAGGACGAGGGGCAGGGGCGGGGCGGGGCAGGGCAGGCTCCTTCTGGCCTCACTGCAAAACAGCTTTTGCTGCTCCGGGTGGTGGCAATGCCAGCAACAGGGTGCCTGCCCAGCTGCCCTTACTGATCTCCGTGGCCTAAGGCCAGCCTTCTCAAGCATGATGTCTGCCAGGGAGGGGTTGAAAAAGTCAAAATGGTGGCTGCAGCCAGGGAATCCAAGCCCCGCCCCCTCCATGCGATCACCCATAAGAAAGGAGCAGGGCGTTGGTCGCGGGGTGGCCGCCTTGACTCCCCCTGCCTGGGGCTCCTAAAATTCAGGGAGAGAAACTTGGGCTTCCAGTTTCCAGCCTCCCTTCTCTCCTGGGGCCAAAGGGCGAGGCGCAGGGGACAGACCCCAAGTGCCAGCAGGGCAGCCCCCCACCCCCATGTTGCAGGACCCACCTGCTAAAATTGCATCAGAAAATTGTCGTTCCCCGCGCCCTCCTTCAAGGATGGCAAAGGGCTTTACGCACCAGGCTGGGTTCACCGTCTCTTCTCACCAGCGGGGCTGTCAGCAGGTTCTCCATGCCTGAAGGGACGTCAGCATCACCCTGGAAGAGGAAGGACAAAGGTGAAGAACATCACGACTGGCATGGCAGACACCCGCCCACCGACTGAACAGCAAGGGGGCCCCTTCTCTTAATCCCCACACCCTCTCCCGAAGAGGGCGCTGCAGGCTTGGCAGTAACAGGCAAGGATGGGTAAGGATGGTTTCCAGCAAGTGCCAAGTACAAAGTATCCTACGATCAACCAAAAGCAAACAAAAACTGCAGGCCAGGGCAGCAGGAGAGAAGGTTCCTGGCAGAGCGTGGAGGAGACATCACCCCCACATGGGGAGAGAGCCCAGCTCCCAGAATTCCCAGGCTCAGAGAAGCTGCAGTTTGCCAGTCTGGGAGTTAGATGAACTTGGGCCCAGCACCTTTCTTCGATTGGCAGGTCTTTTCCTGCAGAGCTCAAACCCTGGTGGGCTCTGCAACGCCTCCTCACCTCGGGGGACCCAGTGCAGGTCCAACTGGGGCCAGCCGGTCAAGGGAACGACTGGCCAAGAACCCCTCTGCCCCGAGCCTTTCCCACCTGGATGCCTCTCAGAGGTATGGACGTCATCCCCAGAAACCCCTCAGCAAGCAAGGGAGTTCTGGAGGCAGAATTCCCACACCCAAAGGGGGCACCCAGATGGGGAAAGGTCACGTGTCTCCCCCTAGATGCAGCCAGCAAAGCCAAACCTGCAGGACACCTGGACCTCTCCAGGGTGCCAAGGACAGAGCACAGAGTCAAGCCCACATTGCTGGGTGAGGGACAGAGCCAAATGTGAAGAACACTGTCAGGCTTGCAAGGTAGACCACACAGGAAGCACAGCCAGGTGAGCAAATTCCTTTTTATTGTAAGGCTACATTAACAGAATCTTGCAAGTATGAAAGGACATCTCTCCCCTCTCGCTTTTACAGTCCAAGAAACTAGGGAGGGTCCCTTCTGAGCCTCTTGCCCCACCCACATTCCTGCTGCGGGCTCAGCTGCCTTTTATCTGACCGTTGTCTAATCTGCAGCTCTTCCTCCTGTCTCCCAAGGTCATCCCCACATACCATTACAAACACAGCCCAAATATTCTGCTACCAGGAAGGCTGAAGGACAGGTGGTGGGAATGACCAAGTCAGATCCCCAGCCCTTCTAAAGGACGAGCTGTTCTGAAAAGGTGGAAATGACCAGCATCCCAACCAGGTGGGCTAGAAGGTTTGGCTCCTTCTTGGACATAAAGTTCTAACTCTTGACTTCCCAAAGCCCGAACCAGCTCCCTTCCAAAAAGGTACCAGATGCACGCATTTCCTGCTTCTGGGAATCATCCTTGGTGAAGTTTTTTTGCTGGAGCAGTAAACCACCTTGAATTGTTTCTTAATTATTTAAGGGACACGCCAGCCAACAATGAGACAATGGTGAAGTGGATGGAGGCCAACCCTTTGTGGTAATTACTTGCTTCTTTCACATTCAGAACAGCCTACAATGGCCGTCCCTGTTTCGCCCTCAAAATGCAAGGGGAAAGAACCTTCTTCTGTGTCCGTCCACCCTTGCCGTGGGATGGGACTTCCAAGCTTATTTCAAAAGCCGGCCAATATCCACCCAACGTCCACCCAACACCCACTCGTCACCCCACCTGCACTTTACCACCTTCAGCCAAGCAGGTGCCTTCTGAGCGCAACTTTTACCTTCAGCTCCTCTTCATCTAGGATTTCCAGAAAGCCATCGTCATCCTCATCATTCATGAAGGACGTCAAGGATGAACAGCGCAGGTAGATTGGACTCTCGGCCTCAGGATTCACGTTCTCCTTCTGAGGGCTGCAGCACTGAAGAACAAGGATCCGTAAGCGCAGCCCCACGTGCCTTTTGATGGCTGTTTCCCAGGCAGGCACGTCCTCCTAAGAATGACTGCACTGGACCTTCCCAACCGGGTGCCCACCATCTCCCACTGGCTGCAGAGTCAAGGTGATTTGGCTAGGAGCTGCAGCCAAACCATCTGCAAGGGTCAAATGAGGAAGGCTGACTTAAGAATAGCCCCCTCCTGCTCCCCCAGCCATCTGTTCCCTCTCTGGTGGATCTAAGAGGGTCGGCATGTCTTGGGTCCTATCGCACCCACAATGTGATCTGGTGGGACCCAGGAAAGGTGCCTTCTCTGCTGCTGCTCCCACCTTTTGGAACAGCACCCCCTCTGAAATGAGGTTAGCCCCGACCCTGCCTGCCTTCCACAACATTTTTTTTTTCCCAAGGACTGGGTTACGGTTAGGGTATTCGACAGAAATACCCTGGGCATTCGACGACCTGCTGAATTAGCTTTTCTTCTGGCATTTCTGTGTTGGCAGGCTGTTTTTTGGATTGCGTTTTTATATTTTTAATATTTATCTTTTTAAAAAAATGATTATCCTTGATAAGGTGCACCACCCTGAGCCGTGTGCTAAGCAGAGCAGCTATATAATCGAGTCAGTCAGTCAATAAATAAAGCTATTGAGAAACTGGGGGAGAGGGGGTTGGGCAGCCTCAAAGGGACAGATGGACTCATGTAGACTCATTTTTTTTCCAGGAAAAAGATTTTTAAGATATTGAAGACAGACAAGGCCTCTCCCAAGGGAAAATGCCTGGCTCATCTTAAGAACAAATGAGATGAGTAGCACGAGCATTTCTCAACCGCAGCAACTTTAAAATGTGTGGACTTCAACTCCCAGAATTCCCCAGCCAGCCATGCTGCCTGAGGAATTCTGAGAGTTGAAGTCCACACATCTTAAAGTTGCTGAGGTTGAGAAACACTGGTGTAGACCCTCTGGCTATGAACGTTTTGCTAGCAAGACCCTTTGTCAAAGAAGCCAATCTATAATAGGAAAAAAGAGCCTTAGCTTATTTTCCCAAAAAGGCTCAAATTCAGTCTTTGGAATATACCTTTCTTGCATCCCATTCAAAGCCCTTTGAATAAGGGAATAGGGAAAAATATGCCCAGGTTCCTGCTGCCCCACAGTTCAATTCTGAGGATCTCAAATAGCTCCAGTCACAAAAAAGGAGGCCTCCCCACTCCCTTACTGACAAATAGTCCACATTTTCTCTATGACTTTGGGGCGGAAACGTGATTTTGCTGGCTGTTTTTCCTTTCCCATCTTCAGCAACAGTCACTGATCATTTTAACGACACCAATTTCATTTTTCATGGTTGAGTTGTAGTTACCGTCATTTTGCTGGTGGGGGTTTATGCTAAGCCTTCTGGGGTCTTATTGGTGAAATGGGCTATAAAACAGGGAATGAGTAAGTGGAAATAAAACTGCCTGCACGCAAGTCTGTCAGCAGGCTCCCAAGCATCCACACCAGCACGCACAATCCCACTTCCTCTTCGACAGCCCGCACTTACCATGAGCTGTGGGGCAGAATTTGGTCTCTGGGCAAAGGGCCCCCTCTCCCCCTGCCCCCCAGAGGAAGACAATCTGCTTGTAGGTCGGGAGGGTTTCTTAAAAATAACCCCTTCCTGCTGGAAAGACAAAAGGCAAAGCACGCTGCAATTTTAGGAAGCCAGGAGAAATGCTGGGGAGGG